ACACACACACACACACACACACACACACGCCCGGCGTGAGTTTTAAGCCACCGGGTCCGGGACACGAACCACGGTCGACTACGTGGGAGTCCAGCGACATAGCCATTAAGCTAACTGCTGGTCCCATTACTACGTTTTCATAGTGAAAAAGAAGATAAATCTTTCGGGGCTAGCAGTGGCATAGCAGACAAGGCAACTGAATCCCACATAGCCAACTGTGTGGCTGAGTACCAGACCTAGTGACTTGAAAACATGCGCATGTGCACGTGTGCCCAAAATCCCAAGAGGAGAATAGAGGAGAGGGAATTGGGGTGTGACCATTCCCCCTCGGGGGTGATTTCTCACTTTCCCTCTTTCTCTCTCTCTCTGGTAAGTGCACATGCCCTATAGCAAAGCTTAAAAAACACATAAAAAGATTTGACTTAGAATAATTTATTTCATAAAAATTGTTCTGTATTTGACATTTACATATGCAAATTTAGAAGGAAAATACTATTATTGGTAGTCAACCAAAAAAAAAAATATAGCTTATGATCAAAGATAAACTGGACTTTTGGGACCAGCAGGGGGGCTGGTGGTTGAGGACGCTGGACTCCCACATGGCTGACAGTGGTTTAAGTCCCGGACCTGGCGGCTTGCTTTCTCGCTTTCCCTCTCTCTGGTCAAATAAAAATAATAGTAATACTTAATAAATAAATAAGAGAGAGAATGTAAAGAACTATTAAAAATCAACAATTTTCAGGCCTTTGTACCTGTGTTTGCTGAGAGTTTTATAATACATTATAAAAGTAACTAAAGTTTCATGCTTTCTATAATTTCCAATTCAGTGAATTATTATAAGAACCTAAGATAAAATACAAGGCATTGTGCACATTTCTGAGGGATAAAATAAATACTAAGAGTAAATCCCTTCTTCAAAGAACCGAGAGATTTAACTTTTTGTTCACATAGAAGATAGATATAATGAGAAGTATACTCTAGAAGTCACATTGTAATTATTTGGAAGCATTTGAAAGATATATGCACACACATTTACAAAATTCTTTCCTGCTGCCTTCTACACAAAAATCAATCTCGTTTATGAAAGTAAAGTCAGGGCCAGTTGGTGGTGTGGTAGTTAAGGTGAGTGGATCCCACACAGCCAAATGAGCGGTTTGAGTCCTGGACCTGTGCCTTGAAAACTACACGGGATACATGTGTGCGTACACCCAAAATCCTGAGAAGAAAAAGGATTGAGGTGGTGTAGCCATTCCTGGAGGGTGATTTCTCACTTTCTCTCACGCACGCATGCTGTCTCTGGTGAGTGCACACACCCTAAAGCAAAAGCTAAAATAAATAAGTTAAATAAATAAATAAAAGTAAAGGCAAGTCTGTCTGTCTTTTCCCTGCTCACCACTTTAAGTAGCTAACATTGAAATTCTTTGACATGGAAGTTCTTAAATCTAGGTCCATGGATGGCTCGAAGGGGGTCAATCTGTGAGACCCCTAAAATTAAAATATCAAACACAGGATATAATCTCAAGAACATTTTTTGAGGGACTAGGTTCATAGCTTCCAACAAATTTCAAAAGGTTCCCTGAAACCAAGAGAAAAATAAAAGGGGGAAGGGGCTGGATAAGGCCAAGCTCTTTGAGAGTCATCTGAGTTATATCTTCACTGCAGGTAAAAGTATAAAATTACACTAGAACACTTGCTCCCTAAATATTACACTCTCTAAAACACAGTATGTCTGAAGATTGACCGGGTCCTATATCCTCATTCCAACAGCGTAAATCCAATTCTTATTAAACAATTACTCTTAGAAGCAGGTCTAGAGCACAAACTTTAAATATTTCTCCTCCCCCTTTGCCAAGTCTGAGCCAGCGTGGAGGTGCCCATCACAACTTTCACAGGTAATAAATAAGTAAGTAATCCTGGCAACATTGTTAATATAATTCAGGGCTCACTTTATTATTTTTAAAGTATCAGGGCCAGCAAATGGTATGGTAGTTAAAGTGGCTGGACCTACATGGCCAACTGTACAGTTCGAGTCCCAGATCTGGTGGCTTGAGAAACATGCCTAGTGCATGTACATATGTGCTCAAAAACCCGAAGGAAGAGAAAGATGAAGGAGAATGGATTACAGCATGACTATTTCCCGTGTGGGGTGCTTTCTTACTTTCCCTCTCTCTCTGTTTCTCTCTGGCAAGTGCACACGGCCTCTAGCAAAATTTTTAAAACATAAATATATATGTATATCAATATATATATATGTATCAGTTGAACAATATGAAAGACACCTACCTCCATACACATCATCCATACAAATAATTTGGTCTCCTGCTTTTAAAAGATGGGTAATAGTCACAGTGGCTGCTAAACCTGAAGCAAAGGCCAAACCTAGAATAAAAATCAAGTTAGAGTGAGTCAAAAATCTCAGATTTATAGGTTCAAAGGAAATTACTCTTTACAAAAATCTGAAATAAAAAAGGTCTATTGCCAAGTATCTATATTTGACAAACACCAAATTGAAGAAATGCGAAACTTGACAGATAGAGCTAAGATGTGATTCATTTATTAATGATACAGATTTGCAATTCAAAAATATTTTAACAAAACTCAAAATCTGACCTGAGATGTGTCTGGTAAGTTTATTGATGATGGACACATAAGATTCTTATTTTCTATTC